ATTAACAGTTCATCCCAACATCAAGATTAATTTAGGGGATTAGTTTATCTCACAGTCACTACCAAATTGTAAAAAGCACTTCCCGTTCTTCAATATAAGAATATACTTTAACACTAATACAAACTAACTAAACTACTCTAACCAGAACACTACAACTAATACAACCAAGCCCTAATATAGTAAGGCAATGATTGAGGCATAGAAAAACTTGGTCTGAGTAACTAGAGTAGATTGGGTTCTTAGCAATAGTATCAGATTAGAGCTCTTGATTACATCACAAATCTCTTTACACAGAGTCACGGGATTTGGTCACGAATTTCAATCATTATTACAGATTTTATTTATCAGGGGTTAGTAAAACAAACGCTTCTACTTAAAGAACTTACTAATTACAAGTTAAATACTCTTATTTTTTTAACTTGAAACTCTCTAGAGCTAGATAGCTAGCTAGTTACTTTATTACAATACTCCCTTTTATAGCTTTTACATTACTATTACAAATCAAACTTATTCACCTAATTCACTTAGTTTGATAAGTTCACGAAGTTCAATAAGTTACAGAAGTCAAAGAAGTTTGATAAGTCAAACTTTCATGACTTGATGATTTTCTTGCTCTTACTATCTTTGGTTAGATTCGATCTGAGCCATCTCAATATACAAAATGAGCTAATATGTACCCGATTTGTTAAATTTAATATATATCCAACCCTCCAAATATAGAAAATTCTATTACTAGCCACGATTTACCCTTTTACAACGCTCAAGATTAGGAAACGACATTGAATATTCGTTATATAAAGCTGAAGATTCAAAAGGCATAACCGACATAGAATCCGAATTATATTTTAATATACTATCAGAAGTATCTTCTAATTTGTCTTGAAATGTAGAATCATTCTGATCCATTATGACAATTATGTTACAGAATTTATGTAATTTGAAAATAAGATTTGGACAGGTAAAAACGATTAATAAGCAGAAAGATTTTTTGCAAATAGTTAATTGAAATTATAGTTTGCTAATTGAGTATTACTAACCAATAAATTTATTTTTATTGATTTAAAAACTCTCTTTTTATAGATTTTAGACACATCTTTTTTTTTTTTGCCAAGAAAGATTTTATCGACTTCTATCTCATCTAATATAACACATTACAATAACTAATTTATTAAAGTAGGGGCTTTGGTGGCAATATTTTGCTTTAAAAATATTTAATTTTTCCTTAATCTTAATATTCTTTTTTTTTTCTTATAATTTCGAACTTCTTTTTTCCTTATAATTTCAAACTTCTTTTTTCCTTATGATTTTGAACTTCTTTTCTCTTTATGATTTTAAAGTTATTTTAAAATTTTAACATAATCTTAACACAGCCTCAATTAGGATTACACCTATTTTAGTTTTATTACACTCTTCTTTATTCTCAATTTTTGGCTAACTGGTCATCAATCGCTTTACTTTTTTAGATTAGCACCTTCAAATTTTAATAATCATATGAACAAAGGTATGCTTTTTATTCTAATGCTTTTATGCCTAGCATCGCATCTAATAATGGTCGAATTAACTTCACCAGGAGATAAAAGCCATTGTGATAATTGTTTTGGAGAATGGTCTTGAGAAATAAATATATTAGAAAAAGAGTAGATCAGTAAGTGTATTAGAAAAATAAATTGGAGACAGTTTTCAAAAATGAGAACAATGAACTCATACTTATATGAAAATTAAAGAATCAGGAAACTCAGTTTGGTAGAGATTAAAAGATCTGGTAAAAATAGATTTAGAAAACTCCAGAAATCTGAATATTATAAATGCATACTGAAAATATACGCACAAGGTTGGTAGTGCAGATCTCCTGAACTACAAACCATATTTCAAGATTAGAGAGATTCAAAATAAACATTTGTTCTGCCAAAAATTGCTCTTGACTCAAAAATCAGCATAGAAAATCACCTTTTGTACTCTAACAAAAAGTTTTGTTAGACAATTTAATATTCATTATTAGACCCTAATCCTAACAAATTTTAAGAATTTTGTATACATGCCAACCTTGTATACATTTTCGGTATGCGTTATAAATTTCTCATAGTATGGCAATTTTATTTGTTTGCATTTTTCGAAAAAAATTTTATAAATAGTTTAGCTTTGTAATTGGCTATAGTTAAAATAAAAGAATTAAATTACATATAATAATTTCAAAGAATTGTGATGCTGGGAAATTTTAGCATATATAGTATTGCAATCAATTTCTTAATAAACGCATTAGTTTGGTTATGTAATAATATATGCTATACTAATATATATATGATAAATAATTTTTCTATCTGTATTGTATCCTTATATTGCAAATCAAATTCAGTTTTTAGATTGCAATCATGGCCATTTCCAATCTCAATTTATTTATTTACAGATAACTAAAGTTATAGCACAATAAATTGTTGCTGACTTATATGTAGCGATTTTAATGAATGCTAGTTCAAATATTTATATATTTAAACTAAAAATTTGAGTTATTAATTTTTTATATATTAATATTACAATAGTAGCCATTGAACTAACAAATTATTTGTACTTGACTAAATCAGCTTGGTAAAAATTAACTTGGTTAAGTCGACTAGTCGACTTAAGTCGATTTTACAAGTAGTGACTTGGATTACTACTAGTACTATATAATCTAAGTTAGATATCTAAATCTGTATAAATATAAAGATAAATATATATATCATTTACTATGATATATTTATATATTGCATATATATATATATATTATAATTTGTTTTATAACAACTAAAATAAACTAGGATTTTTTTGTTTGGTTAGAGTTAGGTAGAGTTAGGATATAATATAAAAGAAATTTATAATAAAATTTTGCAAAAAATTTTTTTTTGTTAGAGTATAAAAATAGTTTCATATATAAAATTTTGAGTTATAAGTAATTTTTGCCAAAATGAACATTTGTTTTAAATTTTTCTGATTATACTATGTTATACCTGATCTTGAAATTTATTGGTCAATCATCTAAAATATGATATATAAATACATTACAAGTTGCAATGTCTAATTAAGTTCTAAATATAATATAATCTAAATAAATCTTTAACTACTCTAATAGGTTTAAGTTTTAGATAAATTAGTCTAAGCTTTTACTTTTATATATAATTTTATTTATATTTATACTAATATAAATTGTAGAAGTTTTCTAAGCTTCATGTAGGTGCAATACTCTTATTCATTATGTATCGATTTGATTGGCTAATTTTATCAATCATTGTTTAAAAAGACTTAATTAAGCATCACAACTTGCAAGATTAGGTATAATATAGCATAATCAAAAAAACAAATGTTCATTTTGACAAAGGTTGCTTATAGCTCAAAATTTTATAAATAAACTGTTTCTCGTATTTTAACAAAAAAATTTCTGGCAAAATTTACTTTAAACCCTTTTTTATTGCTCTCTAACTCTAACAATCCTTTATGTAGTACCATCGAAGATCTGTGCTACCTCTCTACTCAGGTCTTGCCAAGCGAGCATCTGTCATCTTTTTACGGTTTCTTGGATTAACATGATCTGAAACTTTTTCATATAACTCATACATTACACAAATACCCATGATCTTCCAATCTTGTTGGTGTCACCAAGGTTACAGAGATCCCATTCCAACTGACTAAACAGATACAGTAGCTATTGTATAGATAGAATTTTTGAAATTCATTGCTAGTAGGTTTTGAACCCCCTACCTATCCAATATATTACTTGGGGATACAACAATTTAACCATTTCACTAAGTCGCTACACCCCTTTTTTTATAATTTGATTAGTTGTTTAACAAAAAAAATATATTAATAAAAAATAATTATACAAATTTATATTATTAATAATATAGTTATTAAAATTATAAGCCAAAATATAATTTAAATTATTGTTTTAAAATTATCTCTTAAACTGTAAGCTTTTTCAGGCAAATTTGTCTAGAAAATTATCATAAATATATTTATGATCTATATTTTTTAATTTTTAAAATATTTAAGAGGTGATTCGCCGTTAAAGGGTATAAGCATCATATAAGCATCATAGTAAAAATCGGGGGCATTACATATAGAATTTTAATAGTAGTAGAAATGGCCAACAATTTTCACAAAGAGTACTATGTAAACTTCTTTTTTTACTAAGTAAGTCTCTCTTTGACTTCTAATT